TGCCAAGACATCCAATTTTTTATCATGCAATAGCAAGCGAATTTTGTCAAGGTGTTCCGGAAGGCTACCTATATTGAGCTTAGCCATTCTAAAACCTCTTAATTTGGGAATATCTGACCAATTTGTCTCATTATCTTTTCCCCTCGGCCTCTTATCATATCATTTTAATATATTTCCTATATTGGCTTGTAATAGGGCACTCCCTTCATGAGTTAGGTGTAAGCCCCTGCGATTTAAATGTAAGCTGTTTATATTACTATTATCTATAAACGACCAATTGTTTTCTTCACATTTCGGTTTCAAAGCAACATTGGTCTCTTTTACCTTACTTGCAAATTCGGGATTATCCCTTCTAATGATCAAGGATGAAATAATTATTCTTGTTTTCTTCGATTCCTGTTTGAACTGGTGTGCCACTTTAGTAACTTTGTCAGCAACATTCTGCGGCATCGAACTTCGTATATTATTTGTGCCCACATGTATGACCAGTTTATCAGGTTGCCTTCGAGTTGTTGGCCTGAGAAAGTCGTTCATATCCTCCATGGTGGCATCTGAAAAGGACTTTACTGCGACATTTTGCTCGGTATTAGATAGTTCCCACCCCTTCACGTATTTTATTATAGAATCTCCGGCTACAACAACAGTTTTCCTTTTCTGTTGTTGAGGCTGTTGTTCTTGTTGTTCAGCTTTTGCCTGTTCTACTTCCTGCAGCTTACGTGATGCGTCATCTTTGGTTGTCTTTTTCTTTGACTTGGATTTCCTTTTCTTTTTTGTTGTACTTGATCTTCCTCAGTTTTCTGGCTTGATATTGCGCTTGATTCGCCACCGTCTACTCGCTTGTTTTCCAGTACCGAATATTTGTTCTTTAATTTAATATTCGGGTTTATAATATCTTTTGACTGGGTGCACTCATCCACTTCATTGCACAGCTTTTGTTCAATAACATTGTTTTCAACTACGCTATGGGTTTCAGCAATTAGCAGACGCATGGCAGTAATTACGCTGTCCCTTTCTTGTTCTGCGTTTTTTGTCTTTTGTTGCAAGTCAGCTAGTATAAATGATAGGTTGTTGATTCTTTCAATGTTTTCATTATTTTCGTTTTTCAAAAGTTTGTTCTCGTCCATCAGTTTATAAATTTTTTCGTTTAGGCAATCAACTTCGTTTTTTGATTCTTGAACTAACAATGGATTGGAGTCCATTTTTGGTTCCCTTATGTTTTCTAGAGCAGCCGTATTTCCGTTAACTTCTTTGGTAAGAGCTTGTATTTGGCTTTGAAGGGCCTCAAGGGACAACATTTGGTCATCTTGTATGGAACGGCTGTTTGCTGGAATTTTTTCTATTTCATTAGAATAGCTTCTTTGCATTGAATTTCATCAATAAATGGCCGGTTAACATCATTATCTACGTCTCTCAAGTCATTAATATTCAAAGTCGAAGCGACATGTGTCTCTTCAATATGGCTGTCCCGCTTCGATGCTTCTTTTCCACTTTCATTTGCCAGCTTCCCCGATACTACGGGGATTGACCAAATTTAGTTCAGATGACCTTGCATACCTATATATCATTAGTTTTTTCAGTCAGTATTTTTATTTATAAAGCAGTGACACTCTGTTTTTCATGTCACTCATCACCTGCAGGGGCAATATCTCCATAAATTTATATAAAAACAAAAAAAAATCATTTACTAAATTAGTGCATATCTATTTTATAACCAATTTTCATCTATTGGGATATGAATTATGAAATTATCAAAAAATTTAAAAATTACTTTGCTTTTTTGGGGCATCTTGTTTACAACATGAAATTTATAACAGTAACTAAGTATTCAGGTTCAACAAAGTGTGCAAGCCAAAACACAGTGTTTGTACATCTTTAAAATTTTTTGATTGCTTTAAATATAATTGTTTTGTTTGTGGAAACAGCACGTAAATTTATCACTGCAAAGCTTTCGATCCGTAAGCCTGGATCTTCATCAGTGCTAATAATATGTGACTTGTTTAATTCACACGCTCTTTTTATATACAAAAGTGTCGTGATCTGTTGGCTCGCGTCATTTGAAATTTAATTAAACGGCACATCAACCACGTCATTTCAAAACGTAGTGAAGTGATTCCAATTAATGCGTGTGCATCCAAGACAAGAGAAATTAATTTTGCACATTAAAGAGAGCACGCCATGTACTGTCTAGTGGCTTTCCCTCCTGATCTATAGTATTGTGCTTCTCGATTTCAATTGACTCTCTCATTTTGCGAGAGAACTTATGACTATCAATCGCCAAAATGGTTGCTTCATCCCATTTTATACGATGGTCGTAAGTCCAAGTATGTTTAGCCACAGCAGATTTATCTTGCTCGACTTTCTCGCAATTCATCTTGTGTTCCTTAAGACATACTGAGAGATTTCGACCAGTTTCACCAATGTAAACCAGACCACATTCACAAGGAATGCGGTACACACCAGGTTTCTGAGATTCATTTACGTTGTCCTTATGTGTGCAAAGAGCTTGAAACAATTTGTTTTCGCTGGAATGGTATACCTTTATACCTGCTTCATTCCTCAAAATTCTTTCGATTTTGTGTGAAGCCGGACCAATGTATGGTAGACTAACAGACGACTGATATTCAATCTTCTGCTGTATACTTTGTGGCGTTTTCATAGCATTATCTATGATATGCTGTGGGTAACCATATTATATTTTATTGACCCATTATATTTTATCGCCATGCAAACATTCAAAGAACTTATTGCTTCAAATATATTTAAAAAGACATATAGTGCTTAAATTTAATTATTTTAATATAAACCAAGGATGGGAAGGTGAGAAAATGGGAATTTTCTGAGGTGTTTTTAACACAGACAATGACAGCCGACATTTTGAAAGGCACTCTGCGGTGACAAAACTAAAAGCTATTCACTTCTGTACTCAAAGCACTGAAAAGCATCATAAAGAGAAAAACACTTTAAACACATGTCAGGTAAGACTTTTAGCTCAAAATTTTCCTGCTTCTATTGGGAGAGCAACGGTTTAAAAGCCAAAATTATTTTGCGCGCCAATGTAGGCTGCTATAAAATGTCAGACAGGCGGTTTCTTTTGAGGTCTGGCTCTGAAAAACAATCTCTTTTTTTGAGTTTGAAATAAGCCTTCACAAGAAATATTGTGTAGAAATGTTATTTATATCCTCACATGAAAAAGATAACCTAATATTCAGGTATTCCACATAGCTGTAAAAGGGTGAAATAAGAACTTTTATCTTTGGTTGTTTGTCAGACTTGAGAAACCACGTTAGTGCCATTTTGTCGCGCGTGCTATTTTATAAAATAAACACCTCAAAACCATAAACTTTTAGTTCAGAAAATTACAAAGTTTCCCATAGACATTATTAAAAATTTTCTAGTGAAGTGATTTCATGATAAATATGTGAGCAATGGGCCCAAAAGAACTGCTAAGGTTAGTTTTTGTTATGACTTCAATTTCATGGCTTCCCACAAAGGAAGCCATTTCAGAGAGAAGCAACATTTTGCAAACCAGTGTAATTTAGTGTAATTTAATGCTTGAAGTATTCTTGCCAAAAAGGTAAAAAAGATCACGTACGCAAGTAAGTGTTGCTTGAAATATACTTTAGCTAAAATAACAACTTGAACAAGAAGACCAACAACGGGGTCACGAAAACAGTCAAAGTTGCGCCCAAATTTGCATAACAGTTCGTCTAAAAAGATAACTTTAAACTAAATTCAACCAACATTAATGCGGTCGAATTTTGTGAGTGTTTGATCGCATATTTCTACTCAAAAATACCCTTTAAAAAATCTCACTTGAGTTCCGTGTTCATCTTTCTTGTGATTTCCGACTTCTATTTTTAATAAAGTTTGGAGAAATCCTCATCTTTTTGGCTGAAAATCTTGCACATGGTTCACAGAAGAACTTGGCCCAAAACGTCAATACATTCGCTTTCCTTTCATGCCAAATTTTCGTTGTAAATCATTCAAAAACGTCTTCTTTTTTCTCTTTTGAAACTTGCTGTGAAATCCTTCTTTGCAACAATATCGCCATTATCGATCATTATTTTTGAAAAACTAAGGTTTTAAACTTGAAAAACTTTGCAAGTTTTTGGCCGATTTTCTTGCATGATACACCGTTGGAAAACTCGAATTTCGCGTTATATTTTCGTATCCGTTGCTAGGCAACCCGATAAACACGTGCTGAAATATCATGCTCAAATATCATGCCCGCAAGTTGAGGTGTCATTTGAGGGCGTATGCGGGAGCATTGCCAGTTACCCACTTGCCAATCTCAGGGCGCATCCGGGCGCATTGCCAGTTAAGGAGTTAAATATTTTAATATACAAAAGAAAGGGTAATTAATAAAAAATACACTGAAATTGTATGCTGTCTTTTCTCACTTATTTAGTTATTATATATGCAACGCCAACGATGGTATCAGTTTTTAAAGTACTGTTTAATAAACGAGTAGGAGTGTTTTATCACATATAAAACATGACGCGTAGCGGAGTGTTTTATATGTGATAAAACACAAACTACGAGTTTATTAAACAGCTTCAAAAACGTCTCAGTTAGATCACGGCATTGGCGAAATAATTTTCCAAAATAACTTTGTATTAGCTGAGAAAATACAAGTTGAAATTTGAAGCTTGTTTTATCACATATAAAGACACGCCACGCTTATGATTTGTCTTTGTGTTTTCCTCATGAATTATTAATGAGTTTTTGAACAATCACATTGCAGAACAAAAAGAAAAATCTAATCAAGCTTTAAAAGCTTGTCCAATCAAAAGAAAGATTCGTTTATTTGTTCAAATTGTTTCTGGCTTAATGCTGATTGGCTAATGTGCTGTTTGCTGATTTTTTCAATTTCTGGTGCAATGTGATTGGTTACTGTAGACGCACTGTAATATGGAAAAACACAACGATAAATGTGAAATGTAGGTAATAAATAATATTAAATATAATAGTCTGTTGTTCAAAAATACAAATATAGTCTATTACCCTGCTTTAAAGTATAGTTTGTTGTTCTGATTTTTCCTTGCTTTCTTTGCATTCTTAGCTGCCTTCTTTTTCTGATGGTCTTCATGCACACTCTTGCCAAATTTCTCCTTGCAACTTTTCAAGAATTGGTCCAATCTTTCAACTTTGCTATCGATTAAGCATCTTGCTTCCTCAAAGGCTGCAGTCAATGGTTGGTAGAATTCATGGGTTTCTTCTTCCCCTAGAAGAAAATGCAATGTTTAATCAGTTCATAATTAAATATAAAATACAAGGGAAAAGTGAGAGCGTGATGGATGTAGATATAGCCAGAAATTTTAGTAAATTGTACCCTTACTAATAGGTTTTGAACAACAACAAATACAATGAAACGATTTTTATATATATATTTATAACAACGCTTGAATTCACAGGTTCATGACGATCGCAGTTCAATATCTCTCTCACATTCCCACACGATTATATCTAAAATGTCATTAACTAATCATTCAACACACCATGTTAATCAACTAAAAGGATCATAAATTACTCTAGGTTATAGTTCTAAATTAAGAATGTCTGGCAGTCTCCGACACACTCCTCCATGCAATGTTTATATCATTTTGCATATAAAATAAGGAGATTGCTATGTAACGTTTTAACAAAATGTTCTATACTGTTGTTTTGATATAATGTCACTTATCTTCGTCCATCTCCGTCATTCTCCTCATCTTCTTCAATGCTTCTACAGCTGCAGCTCTCTTTGGTTTGAAGGTTCTGGATTCGGATTGAGCTGGTTAACTTTAGGAGTGTCTCTGTTCACAATACCACACTGCAGCTCTAAGGGGTATGGGTGTTGCACGGGCCGTTCAATCGTTCCATTCTTGGTCTTCAGGAACACTGCTCGAATTTGACCATCGGAACCAGGGTACAATTGCAGGACGACAGCCAAGATGGCTTTCCCTCTATTCTTGTCATCCGTACATACAATCACTGCTGCTCCAATCTTAAGAGGCTGTCGTCCGCCTAAGAGCGGTCCAATCGTTTTCGCATCAGAAATTAAAAGTCCTTCTTAATTTTTCATTTAAAAGGACTCGATGTGTAAGTTTCAAAATGGGTATTCTTTTGAGCTCAATCTTTTTTCCGTTCAGATACAAGACCGATTTCGTTTTCTAGACTAGACACCCGTTTTGAGGCCGATTCCGTACCCGAAATTTGCAAAAATCTAGAGGTGCGCTGCAGGAAAACAAACAAATGTCAGCAAAACATTTCTATACCATAATATTAAGATACATTTTAATAGTTCATGACTGCAAGATCGTGGACAAACATAAAAATATAAATAAACTAAGCCCACTGAAAGATGCCCGTATGCTAAGGCGATCCGAATATACTAAAAAATTACCCAAAATTAGAGGCTAAAATCTCAAATTCGGCGCCGATATTGGGGACAAATCACATTCTATAGTCGAGATCTTACCTCGTGCTGATGGTTTATTATATCAAAGTTGTGGGTATCTCTTCGAATTTGACACAAGTTGAACTTCCATCTCGAGTAATACGCCATTGTTTACAATATCTTGTTGTCAAGTCATGGGCGCAGAGAAATATTCAAACACGCATTATAGTAATTATACGGCATTCCCAAGCAAAGTTTTATCCATAGAACATCTTTGACGTGTAATTCTTTCCTGGACCAGTGTTTTAGCGAAAGAATGAGAATATATTTAGTAAGCCGTGTTTCATTCGATTTCCCAGAGTTTCGAAAAGTGTCTGTTTCAAAAACTTTCACTGACAAGCTAGCTGTACTTTATATATAGCAATATAATTTCCACAATCAATTAAGTTCATTTGCTTATTATATCCTTTGCTACTGCAGGTTTTGAACAGTATCTCTGACATTTCTATTTACCATAGTTTCCTGTTTGACTTGGCTTAAAAATAATGAGTGAAATGTAAACACGACTGCATGGCCAAAAATAGAATGTTCTAATCAAGGTTCTAATTATTTACAGGCATGTCACCGAGACACATCAGTAACATCACGCAACGACTGATGTATTATTAGACCAAAAGTAATTTGAGGTTCTGCAGTCAAACTCTCGTAGTCAAACAAGATTGCTATCATGGAATATTATTCTCTAAATTATATTCTCAGGAATATTTTCTGTGGCAATTGTAAACAACTGACTTTGCTTCGGTCAGCCTTTCTGTTCTTTTTGGATACGCAAGTTTTAACATGAGTAGTTGGCCACAAATTGTGTCCATCCTGAAGGCTGAAACAGTTATACCCTAAATAGATAGACATTTCGGTTTGCTTATACACCGAGAAATCACCGGGCTTCTACTATATTATAATTTTGGCCGTTTAATGTCCCAGGAAATTCGCATTTTTCTGATACTTATATGACTATTAATTGTGCAATCGTCACAATATGTTACAGTAACTCTAGGCAGAGAGGGGGGCAGGCAACGCCCTGATCACAAGTGCAGCTGGTTGAATAAATTAAAAGGTAATTTATATAAGAAGCTACAGGTATCGCAACGCCCTGTTGTCAATGTCAGGTATCGCAACGCCCTCTATCATAACAATGACCTTATTGCAGCTGTCAGTCAAATCGGCAAGCACATCAGAATCCAGATTCTCAGGTACGTTTGATAAATGTTCTATATATGTAAAATAACTCGAAACTCGTGATTTTAGGAGAATTTACGCAGTGAAATACTGTTTTGAAAATCCAGAACAGTTTTGAATACTTGTGAAAAATCATTGTGAAAAGGGATCATTCCAAGCTTCTGTGATAAAACCAAGAGCAAAACACTATACTAATTGGTAAATCGCGCTCAATGGATTTTTACTCCTTTATTTATGCAGGTACGATTTTTCTGAACCTCAGTTTGGAAAAGACGTGTGTGATAGAATTATCAGTCCGTTGAAAAGTGCTCTAACAAGGTACTGTAATGAAGGGAATGATATTTTGAGTGCATCCGACATGCACCGTGCACTAGAAGCAAGAAAAGTCAAGGGTACCACTTGGTAGATTCCAACCAAGCAGTCGTCACGGTGAATCAGTTGGCAGGAATCAGCTCCTATCACAACTTCTCTTACCAGCCATCCCGTGCTTATGGAATTGGCCTAGGCAAGCTAATCAAGTGGAACGTCCTGAATATTAAATGCGAAAGCCTTATCATCGCAAAGGACAGCGGGAGCGAAAAAGGCTTTTCCTCCGTCACACCGAGGCGCATGATGCTGCCTATTGTGCAAGAAGAGGAAGCCGATGTTGTTGATGACGCGAGTTATCAGTGCAACGAACCTGGGTGTTCATATGTTTCCGCAAACTTTGAAGCACTGCAAGATCACATAAACTTTGGCAAGCATGTGCTGAGTACAAAAGGCAACAAAGGAATTTACGACAGACTTCGCCGGGATTGGGCACACAAGTTCGCAACACTGTCCATTGAACCCGTAAATAGAACATCAAACATTCTGGTCAAAGTCTCTTATTCGCGCCAAGATTGGACTCCTGAGTCACGCGGGTGGGCTTTGCAGAATCCAAGTGGAGGCGGGACGAGGTTTAGTGAGAAAGTAAAAAGCTATCTACAATCACGATTTGATACAGGAGAGCTGGCAGGTAGAAAGGCCGACACGAACCAAGTTTCTAAGGAAATGAGAGCTGCCAGGAATCTCGATGGTACCCGAAAGTTCAACAGGGAAGAATGGTTAAACAAGACAGTCATTCTTTTCAAGGTTGGCAGCCAGGAAGCGTAAACGGCAAACAGAAGGTAAAGAAACTGCTTTAGCAGGTGATAATGCAGACGCAGAAAACGAGGAGCAGCTCTTGGAGGACGAAATTGAATTCCTGAACGAGAAACACCGAAACCAGGTCATAGAAGAGGTGCTCGATCAAGTGGGATTGGTGCACCCCATCACATATGATGGGTACAACATCTGCGAGCTAGCCAAGCTTGACAAGTTGTCACGGTTCAAAGTGATAGAACTGAAGGAAATGTGTAACTTTTTTGAGTTATCTCCTAAAGCTAGAGACACAAAGCCTTTATTAATTGAATGAATAAAGCGCATGGTTGAGGAGTGTTTCTGCACCTAGACCTTAGGTCCAAGCCATTCATCACAACACCTGAGTATCAATTGAACAAATAAAATTATGTCAACCACATTATGAATGGCACATTATGGAAAATTGTGTTTTGCCCTAACTCGATATCTGCGTTTAGAAGAAGAAAGGAAACTCCTGGATTTATTAATTACTACATAACTTGTCGTCGCGTGATGCGTCTCGTGACATGCTTGTAATTACAACGTTATATTATTGGACAGAGTCGTGTTTACATCAGACAGGAAATTATACGTGTTTACATCAGACAGGAAAATATGACAGCCGAAAATGTGCTAAATGTAAAAGATACTGTGCAAGCAAAGGATACTAAGCAAACGAACTTTGATTGTGGAAATTATATTCCTATATAAAGTACAGCTCTTGCTGCAAATTCTTTAAACAGATTCTAGGAAATCGAATGAAGTAAACACGGCTCACTAATTCTGATTCTTTTGCTAAAACACTGGTCCAAGAGAAAAATTTGAAAGAATTACACGTCAAAGATGCTTCTATGGATAAAACTGTGCTTGGGAATGCCGTATAATTACTATAATGCATGTTTGAATATTTTTCTGCACCTGTGACTTGACAACATGATGTTGTAAACAATGGCGTATTACTCGAGACGGAAGTTCAACGCGCATCAAATTCAAAGGGATACCCACAACTTTGATATAATAAACTATCAGCACGAGGTAAGATCTCGACTATAGAATGTTGATTTGTCCCCAATATTGGCGCTGAATTCGAGATTTTAGCCTGTAATTTTGGGTAATTTTTTAGTATATTCGGATCGCCTTAGCATACGGGCGTCTTTCAGTGGGCTTAGTTTATTTATATTTTTATGTTTGTCCATGATCTTGCAGCCATGAAGTATTAAAATGTATCTTAATATTATGGTATAGAAATGTTTTGCTGACACTTGTTTGTTTTCCTGCAGCGCACCTCTAGATTTTCGCAAATTTCGGGTACGGAATCGGCCTCAAAACGGGTGTCTAGTCTAGAAAACGAAATCGGTCTTGTATCTGAACGGAAAAAAGATTGAGCTCAAAAGAATATCCATTTTGAAACTTACACATCAAGTCCTTTTAAATGAAAAATTAAGAAGGACTTTTAATTTCTGACGCGAAAACGATTGGACCGCTCTTAGGCGGACAGCCTCTTAACTTGCTGCTCCAATCTTAACTTGCTGCTTTGTTGTCTTGTGCACAAGGTTATGGCGTTCTCTCAAGGCAGTTAAATATTCATGTTGCCATCTCCTCCACAGACTTTCTTTGCAGGTTATCAAGTACTTGGCATGCTTACGCAAGTCCTTGTCTTCCACTCTCCATGGTTTGTTTTCTTGTAACTGTCCAGTACGTTGGAATAGCAGAGTTGCTGGTGTCAAGGTGGGTAATTCTATATCGTCTTCCATGTAGCTCAGAGGCTGTCGATTGATCTGAATGTTGATGTCTAACAACACTTCACGATAATGTAGCTCCCCCAATGACTTTATACATTGCAGACTTGACAATTCCAATCAGCCGTTCGAATTGTCCTCCCCACCAAGGGGCACAACTCAGGTTGAACTTCCAGGTGATGTCATGTTGCTGAAGTAGTCCTTGCACTTGCTCGTCTTTCCGCACCTGCTTCAACCATTTGGCTGCCTTAACAAATGTTGAGCCATTATCTGAGTAGATCACAGCTGGCCGTCCTCGCCTCACAATGAATCTCTTTAGACTCTGGATGAAGGTTTCGGTCTCCAGGTTTCGGACTAACTTTAGATGGACCGCGTGTGACAAGCGGCATGAAAAGATCAACAGGTAGCTCTTTCCTTCTCATTTGTTGGTCATTCTGTAGTGAATCAGGCCGGCAAAGTCGGTTGCTATGATTTTGAATGCTACTCCTTCTGTGCGGTCTTTTGGTGGAAAACCGGCTTAAATTGCGTGCAACCAAAGCAGTTTGACCGTTTTTACCAGTTGTCTCAGCCTTGAGATCCAATACATCTCACATGTAGCTGCCATTGTAAGTAGGACTCCACCGTGTAGGGTGTCTACGTGGAATTGCTGTACGAGTTTCTTAGTAAACAACGCGTCAGCAGGCAAATATGTCAGGTAACTTCCTTGTATCCTTCCATGGCATTCAAGGATTCTGTTGTTGCTCTTAACAAGGTTCAATCTTTGGCTTGTTTGCAGGAAGTGTGGCTTCTTGGAATCTTCAGCTTGAACTCGCTTTATCCACCAGTCTCTTTCTCTACGTATGTCAAATACCGACCGAGATGGTCTTGATTGATGACTAACCGACAAACTCGCACTTGAATTCATAGGGATTTGAGGAGATCGTGGCGTTCAAGAAGGTTTCAAATCTGTCAACTTCCTTTGTGGCAGGTTGTGCTAGGCTTAAAAAGGAAGTGTCCTTTTTGCTTTCGGAGGTCGGTGAGCTTGCTGTGACAGGGTTTTCTGGCCACCGGGTGGGATCACTAAACCATTCAGGTCTGTTCCACCACAATTTGGAGTCGGTTATCTGATCACCACAACTTGCAACATCGGCAGGGTTTTCATTGGTACATATCTCCATTGGATTTTAGGATGATCTCCTATTTTCTTCACATGGTTGGCTACAAACTGTCGGTATCGACCACTTGCTAAGATCCAATGGAGGGCCACGGAGTTGTCGAGCCACCCATAGATAGTGACTTCTCGTAGATTCGCATTTCTCACGTTTGTGACCAAATTGGTGGCCATATGAGCGCTGACAAGCTTTAATCTTGGTAAGGTTAGCTCTCGTTTCGCCAGCCTGGATTTTGCTGCTACAAGGGTTTCTGTAGTTCCGTTTTTTTTGGCGTACGATCGAGTACACTGCAGTTCTAACGCCAAGTGTCTCCTGTGTCTCTGAATGTGTGGAGTTCAACAGAGGTTATTGGTTGTTGGTAAGGAACAATCGGTCGCGGTGTTGATATATGTTGTGGGAGCAATTGTTTATACTTTGTCCAATGGCGGCGTAGGTCTGCTAAAAGGGAGGCATCCCAAGCAAGTTTTGAGTTGCATACGTCACAATAAATAAGCTTTCCCAAGAGCATTGTCAGCGAGGCTAAACCCAGGGGATCGTAGACCTTCGCTAACTGCCCGAGTAACTCACAATTGGTCTTCGCACAATCGGTTTTTGGGAACTTGACCGACAATGTATCTATTGCTTTGTCCCATTTGAGCCCCAAAAGCTTGGATTTGTTTGGTGAGACTTGTAGCTGTTGCTTGGCATACGATTGCTCTTCGTTGTTTGGAGTATCTTGAGTCTCTTCTATTTCAGGACAGTTCGAGTTCTACTTGTGCAGTTTAAATTTTGCATCGTTCATTATCTCGATCGGGCGTTCTTGGGCTTGTGTCATGTTTTCGCCACCGGTCAGAAGATCATCTACATAAAAGGAACGGCGGAGTCTTTCAACTTCTTCGGGATACTTTGTTGACCAGGTGATTCTCAATCACTCCAACAGGAATCTCTCTCGTGAATCGGTATGTTTCGATTTCTGCGTCAGCCTTTGGTTGCCAATGAAATTTTAAAGCATCTCTCTCGCTTTCTTAACTCTGATTTGCAGAAATGCTTGCTTGATGTCAGCAGACACACCAACTGGGTAGTTTCGTTGTTGAACAAGAATGAGCCATAATTTGTTTTGCTACGCTGCTCCGGTGTATAAACATTTGTTCAAAGACGGTGCCTCGGGAGTTGCTTGCATGGAGGCTTCGTAGACAATTCTCATTTTGGTAGTTTGGGCTGACTCTCGAATGATGTATTTGTGTGGGATGTAACATTCCTTAGATTTTGTTACTGTTTAATCTTTTCCACTTGTGTGTATTGTGGGTGATGTAACAACCTTACTTCCGGTCGGTGTTGGAAGTGGATTGACTTCACTAAACCTTTACTATTTCCTATTCTTTTCCGAACTTATCTTGAAGAAGACTTTTCGCTCGATTATACCCTTCGGTGGTGAACGGCAATGCTTCGATTGTGTGCCGTATTTAAGGCGCTAGTAATTTTTCAATGTTCTCTGTAAATTGTCCCCAAAACCTTGGCCAATCCATACGAGAACCATTATATTGCAAAATAACTAACTTGGGCAGTTTTGCTTGCATTCCGATAATATTTTTGCTCGCGGTGCCTTCAACATTTTGCTGTTTTTGTTCATTTTGTAATTTTACTTTAGTCTCGTAAAGTTTTACCTCGAATTGGATCTTTTGTTCTTTCTCAATATTTCTGCCTTCCTTTTGTTCTCTGCCAACCATTCTTTTGTCAACCATACATGACTATCAGCTTTGTGCATTTTGGCATCGATCCCTTCGCTCCACTCGTCTGTGCCTTTTTTTTCTCTATTTTATCAGCTTCTATGATCCTCAGTTTCTCCACTTCGCTAATGATAGTTCGAATAGTCCTGTGGTGTCGATGTTCAAACAAGTGATGCAGGGCCTAGAGTGTCATCACATGAGAAGATTGTCCAGCTGAGAATGGTCGAGTAGTTCCAGACATTCAACCTTGATCTCCAGTGGTAAATTACAAAACGTTCGACTAGATAGCATCATAGACAATCAAAGGAATGGACTGGAAACGCCTGGCAAAACGAACGTGGCATCCGTGATACGGGCTAGCACATATCAATTCATCAGTTGCCGTGGCAACTGGCCTGTAAAAAAGTTTAAAAAATGTAGATTTTGCATATATTTTTTCCCTTTTTTTTAACAAATGCAAAGGTAAAAGATATTTTTTGGCGGTACCAAAAGCAGAGAATATATGCCAAGGTGAGTACGTGTATATTTTTAATTTTTCCTATAAAAACAATCATTATAACTTCGGTTTTTCACAACGTTGACAAAACAATTACGCACGTATATTACATCTCTCCCTGTGTGGTTATATTTCGAACCCTGGAACTTGGCGACAAAGCTGTCACTTGTCTGCTAAGGCATATAGTTATACTCTCATATGTA